GACGTAGAGTGCGGCGGTGGATACCTCAAGATCGGCCCGAAGCTTGAGGACCTGACCACCTTCGGAGATCCCACCCCGTACAACATCATGTTTGGGCCAGATAAGTGCGGGTACACAAAAAGGACGCACCTCATCTTCAACTATAAGGGAACCAACGTTCTGAAGAAATCCGACCTGGCCTACAAGCAGGGTGAGGACTTTGGAATCTCCCACGTGTACCGCATGGTGCTAAAGCCGGACAACACCGTCCGTGTCGAGGTCGATGAGGAAAAGATCTACGAGGGATCCATTAAGGACGATTGGGAGGTTTTGAAACCGAAGGAGATCTCGGATCCAGACGACAAAAAGCCGGAGGATTGGGTGGATAGTTCCATGATGGACGATCCCGAGGACAAGAAGCCAGAAGATTGGGTCGAGGAGAAGCGTATCGTGGACGAGTCGGCTTCGAAGCCTGACGATTGGGATGACGAGGAGGACGGTGAGTGGGAGGCCCCCATGAAGGACAACCCTGCGTACAAGGGCGATTGGAGCGTGAAAAGGATCGAGAACCCAGCGTACAAGGGGATCTGGGAGGCAAAGAAGATCGCCAATCCAGAGTATGTGGACGACGACAAGGTTTATTCGTTCGTTGATTTCGGCTTCTTGGGCTTCGACCTGTGGCAGGTGAAGGGTGGCACAATTTTCGACAACGTCATCGTGTGCGACGACGTGGCTGAGGCTGACGAGTTCGTTAAGAAGTGGAAGGCCCTGAACGAGGTCGAGAAGGCCAAGAAGAAGGAAGAAGATGACGCCAAGAAAACCGAGAGCGCTGACGCCGAGAACGACGACGACGACGATGCTGACGACGACAAGGCCGAGGCAGAGGAGATGTAGCTGCTCTGCAGCGTTGGCTCTGCCATAGCATTCGATGACAACGGCGATGGTCGGTGACCGTGCCAGTCCTGGCAGGGGGCTGACTGACGTCGCCGCCGGAAGGTATAGCTGCACCACAGCGACGTCGTTGCCGAGGCTTCCGTAGGTGGTGCTCACTTGCCGACTTCTCCGTCATTGCAGGCGTTGCGTCAGTTGAGTTGTGTTCTGTCGTGCGATAACAAAGATGGTTACGCCATTCCACAGACCCCCCACATGATAGGGGTTAGACGAGGAGCGTGAAGCGAACGAGCAGGAAAGAGCAGGGACATCTCGCTCTGAGTGTGGGGCTGGACCAAGCGTAGAGTAGCACACAAATCTCCCAATCAATGGGCGTGTGATAAAATGGCGTTTGAGGGCCCCCTGGGACTGTCCTGGGGCTTCTCGGGGCCTCTCGAGTGGCGTTCATTCGAGGCCTTGGGGTTCTTTGGAATGGTTTGGGCCCGCGTGTGCGGGGGGGGGGGGGGGCTTCTCGGAAATGTCTGGACGCGATGATGCGGGTAGCAAAAGTAATCGACAACACATTTACGGTTTTGGGTGTCTTGGCTCCCCTCTTTGACCTCTTCGGGTTCTCTTCTTGTATCGTAAGGCCTCGGGTTATTTTTGAGCCCGTTTGGGCGTGCCGGAGCCCGTCTGGAGCCATCTTGGAGGGCATCCGAGGCAGACATATTGGAGGCATCGGAGGTGGACGTGGAGGCCGTGCAGGCCCAGGAGTTGCGTGAGTGAAACCCTCCCCCCACCCTTGCCCGCCCCCGCCCCCCCTACTCAGACGGGGGTTTCGACCCTGTTGGGAGGGGACCCCCCAGGGGAAGGGATATGTTGATGCTCGTTTGGGGCACCTTCCTGGGGCCCACATGACGGATCTGTTGAACTCCAGGTCGACCCCAGTTCGACTCCAGTTCGACTCAAATTCGACTCAGGTTCGACGCAAGGTCGATTCAAATCGACGGACGTTAGATTCAGTTTTGACGCACGAGTGGAGCGAGTGGCTCCAGCAAGGTCTCCAGAGTGAGCAGCCAGGATGGGGGCAGCCAGATGTCTCTTGCGCATGTTAATCCTCGGCTAGCAGGGGTCCGCGGATCCTTGCAGGCTTGTGCTGCTGCATGCCTGCATCGGGTGACGATAAACAGGTTGGCGCGAGAGGATGTCGACATTGCCGCGCCTTCCTCCGCCTGCTCACTGCTGATCCTCCCTGACTCATTCATTGATGGAGGCGGCCTCGTCCCCCACCCCCCTAGCTGGCGCTCCTCCACTGGACGTCGGGGGCCGCTTATCCTCCTCATCACAGTCCTTCTCTATGCTGCTGCTGCTCCTACTCCGTGCGTCCTACCTGCCGTCCTTCCTCACTCCTGCTGCTGGTTTTCCTTTCTACCTTCCTTCCCTCCTTCCTTTCTACTTGCCGACCTTCTGTAATCAGACGTGGTCAGCCCTGGCCAGATGCCCTGCGACAGACAGCGCGAGGAGCACACCAGTGAGGCTTGGTGGCGATGCCGGCCCACGGGTCTCTCAGCGTTTTCGCGCCTGTTTTGGCGGGTGTCCTGGCCGTGGTGGCTGCGCGGCGACACAGGTTTGGACATACTTCAGTCGGGTGAATGTTCAAATGCAGTCAAACAATAGTCTGGGACGATTTTTCTATTATTGTTTGAATATGTTTGAATATATGTTGATGCTTTTTTTGATTTGTCATCCAAATTCCGCTTGTAGGGGGATCACGCCCGACCTAACAGTAACCGTTCCCTGCGGCACATGCGAGTCGACGGCATGCAAGTGGGTTCGGCGTTTTGCTGGGAGCGCAGCAGCCCCTACCCTCGGCACTCGTGCCAGAGCTCTCGTCTGGCCTCCGACTTGCCATCGTGGCGGCTCGATGATCGTCAGGACGTGTGTTACGTAGCCCAATTTGTGTGTGTGCGTTCCCCCGTCCAGCTCTGCCACTAGCGCGTAGCATATGCTGGACCTCATCTACACCGCCGGCGTCGTATCGAAGGGCTCCGGTGGACAAGTACACGTTGACGCTAACAGCTAACACACGATGTGAGGATCATCAAGAGGTTGAGGAGAAGCCTGGATTCTTTGAATGTGTCGATGGCGATGCCTGCATTGATTGGGATGGCCTCCTTCCTCGCCTCCGCTGCGCCAACGCAGAAGAAGGCGCCACCGTTGGTCAAGGCAACGCTGCGGCAGGCATGTTCGCTCATGTAGTCGTCGTCGCCGTCGAATTGCTTCGCCAGCGAGTGGGCATCGGCGCCTACTGTGAAGAACCCGCAGCATAGCGCCGTGATACGGGCTTCGGCTGATACATTGGCCTCTGCCACTGCGATCTCGTGGATCTGGTCTGCAAGCGACTGTCCTGGGAAGAAGGACTTGGTGCCCTGGGCCACGCGGTTCGAGCCATCGCAGACAAACCAGGTGCTCTGCACAGTCAACCCGCATGGTAAGGATGGGCAACCTTTCCAAGGCTACCCTTGCATCCTTGTCCCTCCGGCCCATCCGTGGCAATGTTCGCTGGCCAACCTCGTTCGAACAACATGAGCATGTACTTCCAAGGCCCTTACATAGGGGAGAGAGGAATGACATAAACTAAAAAACTCAGAGGTCTTTCGTTCCCCGATTGCATCCTCACCGCGCATCCTTCTCATACCTGTTGAGTGTACTGCTCCTCGAGCAGGGCCTGCGGGGGGCGGCCTGAAGCAGGCTCTGCTTCCCCCTCCTCCTCCCCCTCCCTCTCCTCCTCCTCCTCCTTCTCCCCTCCTCCCCCTCCTCCTTCTCCTCCTCTTCCTCCCCTTCCTCACCCTCCTCACCCTCCTCCTCCTCCTCCTCCGCCTCCTCCTCCTCCTCCTCCTCCTCCTCCTCCTCCTCCTCCTCCTCCTCCTCCTCCTCCTCCTCCTCCTCCTCCTCCCCCTCCCCCTCCTCGCGCAGCTGAGCCCGGCCGGCGGGCCGCGTGCCCGCATGGGCCCCAGCTTTCGGGAGCGGAAAAGAGGGGGGTGATGACTAGGGGGGGGTGGATCTCATGGCGGGGGCCATGATATCTCCCCAGGTTTCATGGCGCCTCTTCTTATTTCATTACGTCCCTGGTCCCCCCGCTGGGCCGCGCACATGCCGCCGGTCATGATTTGCGCCCCCCCCTCTTGGACACCCCCCTCTTTTCCGCTCCCGAAGCTTGGGCAGAGGTGCTCTTGCGGATTGGGGGCAGGCCTGCCCAATCCGCCCCAGCGGGGTGCGCAGGTACAGTGGGGACCCTAGTCGGAGGTTGACAGACCTCCTACCCTGACACGTCGATTAGCGAATTGGCCGTTTTCGGTTCGCGAGGGGGCGTCGCGGCCGTCATTTTTGCGGGTCGAGGTCCGTCGGTTTCGGTCCCAGGCCGTTTTCACTAAGGGGAGGTGTACTAAGGGGAGGTTGCACTAAGGGGCCGTTTGCACAAAGGGGCGCGCATCAAGAAACCATATGCTTCTTGTAAGGGTACCCTGGGTTTCTTCGCTCTGCGCTCTGCGCGGTGGCTTCCCGCGGCGGTCAACGGAGCTGCTGCGTTCAGGGTGCCACGTGTTCTCCCTCAGTTGCGCCTCGCGCGCGGGCTTTCAGTGTTGGGTTTCTTGCGAGGGTTTCTTGCGACCGCGCCCGCACTGTACAGTGGGGGCCCATGCCAAGAAATACCCTGCTTGCCTCCAGGGTCAACCTACTTTAGCCTGGATCGCCAGGAATAATTTCGAGCACCAGGAAGGTACCGAAACTTGAGGGCTTTCACGTGTCGGGCCCTGGGAGACACTCGTTCGACATTGTTTCGACACTCGTTCGATACTTTTCCGGGCGCTCGACATTATTTCTGGGATGCGGTCCTTAAGCACGATGGGAGCAACATAACTCCAGAGTGCCTTGGGTTTCGTTGGTTTTGCTATGGAAAGCGCGACGTTCCCACACCAACATCGATGGGCGTCCTTGTGTCTCAGGGTTTGTGTTTCTTGTGGCAGGTTTCCTGTGGTCGGCCCCCCACTGTATGAAGGGCCTGTTTTCCACCTCCACTGCCACCACCACCACCATAAGTTGGAGGGGGGAGGGAGGCGGAGAATAAGGAGGAAGAAGAGGAGGAGGAGGAGGAGGAGGAGGAATAGGAGGAGGAGGACCCCCTCCCCCTCTTATTCATGGTGGTGGCGGTGGAAAACAAGCCGACCTAATCGTAGATCCATGTCAGAATACCCATGTCATTGGTACCCAGACATGCGACGTCCTGATGTTTTCAGTGCGGCGCCCCCGGAAGTCCCAGCCCTTTTCCCGCGGCCGGTTTTTCATCCTGAGTCATTTCTTGACGCTCCCGGGGACCGGCGGGGGCCCCCGGGGGTCGGACATAGCGAAGAACTTGCCGGCCGGATGTTTTTTTACGACGCGATCATGTCTGGGTGCTTCCCGTCGGTCACGCGGACCCGCCAGCGATTCATGGGACGGGATTCCTCATCCTCCGTCTGCTGCCCTCCCGTCCCAGATGGCGGGGTGGGTGTGCTGAGAACGACCTGCCGGCCCGCCCATGATCGCAATGGGAGCACCCTGTCATGCTTCAGGAGGGGAAAAATACGCAGACACAATCAATCGTCGACCCCGAGGAAACTATGGGAAAATACGGGAGGTGCGGGGGATGATGGCAGAAAAGATGGGAACATCTGGGGAATCCCGGGCTTTGTGTGTATTTACTCGTGTCCTTGGGCCCCTTCTATGTCTGCCTTAGCTCTGCTCTCTGCTCAGCCTGCTCTGGGTCCATCCGCCGACTGGAGCCAGCAGTCGGCGTGCATGGCCGAGGGTGCCCCTGGCTCAGGGCGTTCCCAGGATTCCCACGGAGGTGAGGTCCAGGTAGCCTCGACAGACATCAAGCAGTGGCGACGCGTCCTAAGCCTACCAAATAATGTTATTAGAACATTTCTGGCTGAGACTGTTTTGTTTTAACGCATCGGGTTTGTGTTCTAAGAACATTGTTTTACTGTTCAGAGCACCTTTTGGTTCTTAGAGATGCTGGGACGGTCAGTCCCTGCTCAAAGACATGCTCGCGTCGTGAAAGAATCAGGACGGGAGGCTTTTCGCCAGTTTCGTCCCCGCGGGGCCCTCGCTGGGCCCAGACAAGCTCGCGTCGAGCCAAGCGGGGGAGGTGTTGCGCCGTTTTCGGCCTCTCGGGGCCCTCGCCGGGCTCCATGGACCGCCAACAAAAAACGATTCAGGACGAGAAAGTCGTCCCAGGGAAGGGGCCGGGGCTTCCAGGGGGCCGCGCCTTGAACAAATCAGGGCGTCGCATGTCTGGGTCCAGAGCACCCCTCACGAGGCCCCCGGGACGCCCCATGGGGGCGCCCGCAGTGGCGCGAACAGGGGGCCCTGGGCCAGCGACACCCGAGCGGGGGGCGCGCGGCTTGCCCGTGTCCGGATCCGATCCGCCATTCCCAGGGATGCGGCGTCACCCTAATGGTTCTCGGACTACATGTGCGTCGCCCCCCCCAGGGGCGACGCGCGCACCGAGAAATCTGATAGTGTATGCGCCGTGGCGGGCGCCTTCTAGCCACACCGCTCGGGGAACGATATGCTACAAGATTGGTGTACTAGATGTTCGGGTCGGACGCGCGCAGGACAGATAGTACTAGTATGTCTCTGCGCGTCCCAGACATGCGATGGCTTGATCTTTTCAGCACGCAGTCGCCAGAAATCCCGAACCTTTCCGGGGGACCGTGTTTTCATCCCGAGCCGTTTGGTTGACGGTCCTGGGGCCCAGCGAGGGCCATTTAAGGCCGAAGATGGCCAACAAACATCCTGTCTTGAGTGCTTCACGACGCGAGCATGTCTGCATGGGCACGGTGGGGGCATTGGTTAAGGAACGTGCACGGGGGGCTTCAGACCCTGGAGGGTTCCTTATCGGATGAGGGCGGCGACGATATCCTCCGCCGATCCGCGCTTGGAGTTCCACTGGCTTCCAGACCCTGGTGCCTTGTCCAATGCTTCCTCATCCGATGCCACCACCGGAGCGGGCGGCGGCGGCGGCGGCCCGCGAGGGCGGCCAGGGCGCGCGCCGCGCCGAAGGCATTGGTGCACCGCGCACGCGCCCCGCGGCCCTCGAAGAGCCAGAGGGCCCCCCACCGGGTTTGCCTCTCCCGCCCGCCCGACGAGGTGGCGGAGAGGCGGGACCGCGGCGGCTCCCACGGCAGGGTGCTCGAGCTGCTCGCCGCGGCGGAGGCCGACCACCTCCGCGGCCTCTCGGCGCCGCAGCCCGCGGCGGCGGCGGCGGGCGCGGGCGCGGAGGCGCGCCCGGGCGGGGCCGGGGCCGCGGCGGGCCAGAAGGGGCGCGGCCACGGGCAGAGGGGCAGAGAGGCAGAGAGGCAGAGAGAGATCGATCGGCCGGGTCGAAGTGGGTACGGTTCCCCCTCCTGCTCCTCCTCCTCCTCCTCCTCCTCCTCTCCTCCTCCTCCTCCCCCTCCTCCTCCTCCTCCTCCTCCTCCCCCTCCTCCACCTCCTCCTCCTCCTCATCCACCTCCCCTCCTCCTCCTCCTCCTCCTCCTCCTCCTCCTCCTCCTCCTCCCCCATCCTCCTCTTCCTCCTCCTTAAGTCGGGCCTGTCCCTCGACAGGAGGAAAATTCAAAAATAGGCAGAAAATAGTCTGCGGGCGATGGTTTCTGACTATTTTCGAGCATTCGTGGCGGGTTTTCGGGGTATGCGTTTGTGCTTAATTTTCGCCCAAAATCCGCCTGTAGGAAGACAGGCGGCAGCTTTCATGGCCCCTCTTCTTTTTTCAACACGTCCCGGCCCCCCCCCCCCTGGGCATGCGCACATGCCGCCGGCTATGATTTGCACCCCCCCTCTTTGACGCCCCCCTCTTGGCCGCCTCCGAATAGATCGGCCCGGTCGAAGTGGGTACGGGAAGAATGGGTACGAAGCCCAACAACGAATGTTGTCATATTGTCGAGATCCGACAGAGGCCGCGGTTGGGCACAGACAGTTGGACACCGATTGCGACAAGCACGTAAGACTTGCTTGTCATGATCGAAGACGCCCACGGCGAACCACCGCCACCACCTGCCTTTTGCAAATGCATGTGTGGCCACATGAGGCCGCAGTCTTGCCAAGCTATAGGGCTGCGTATTTCCCCAGCGCATTTCCCTACAAGCGTTGAGGAAACCCTTGGGGACACACTCGTGGGAGGAAGAGGGATGAGGAAGAAAAGGAGACGGAGGAGAAGGAGAATCAGGGACAGGAGGCCTCTTGGGGGCCTCGGCCTCCTGGGGGCCTCGTGTGGGCTTCTGAGGGCCTCTTGGGGCCTCTCGGTGGCCTCTTGGCGGCCTCTTGGGGGCCTCTTTGGGGCTCTAGGAGGCCCCTTGGGGGCCTCGGGGGGCCCCTGGGGGGCCACTTGGCATTCGGAGGCCCTCTTGGAGGTCCCCCTGGGCTGTCGTGGGGTCCTGTTTTGGTGAGTTCGGTCCGTCTTGGACGTCTGTAGGGCCGTCTTGGGACCGTCCTGTAGGCTTCTTGAGCCGAGGTGACGCGGTCTTCTGAGAAGACCGCCTCTAAGTTGTGCTGCTCCTTCTTCGTCTTGGGGCCGCGGCACGCCCCACGCTATGGACAGTTTCTTGATTGGGGCATCTGTTCCTTCACGATCCACGCCCTGTGCTGTGGACAGTTTCTTGATTGGGGCATCTGTTGTACGTGGAGGCCCAAAGCCAGTGAAACGATGGATGGTCTTTCGAGCTCGGGCGCCGAGCTGGCGCCGTGGAGAACAGGGCTCCCGCTGGTGCCCGGTGGGCGGTGGACGCCCGCGGGCGCCTCGTGAGGTTTCGCCCGGTGCCCGCCAGTGGGCGCCTCGTGCACGCTCCCGCGCCATGGGGGGGGGGGCCTACCGGGGAGGAGCAGCGATGCTGTTGCACATGGTCGTTCTGCTTCTCTAGGCCTCCTAGATGGGATCGGAGTAGGTGGGGTCGGAGGATCGCGCCGCATCGCCGATGCATTTTCCTCGATGTATCGGCAATGCATCGACGATGCGGCTCGATGTGGGGCTCTATTTTCTCCACGCCAGCGCCGATGCATCGCTGACGTCGCCAGTGCATGGCCGATGCATCGCCGATGCATCAGCGATGCCTCGTCGATGTATCGGCGATGCGGTGAGATCCCCCGACCCCATCTACTCGGACCCCATCTAGGAGGCCTCTAGTTTCGATGCCACATGGGGAACAGCGATGCTATTGTACATGGTCCTATGCGCCGACATGGGCGCGTAAGCTTCCCGCGTAAGCCCACGCCTAAGCGCCCTCGTCTCCAAGGTTGCGCGTCGCGCGGGCGGCCCGCGGAAGCCACCGCGTGAGGTCACTATGTCATCCCGCGTAAGACCCGTTTTTGATCGTCGCTCACATTTAAAAAAATACCGCCAGAGCCTTCGAGCCCATCTTTCCGTGGCGCTTCTCGACCGGGGCCGATCCGCGGCAGGGGGTCTGGTGCCCGAGACGGGGCAAAGAGCGCTTATCGCGACTGCTCCGCGTGACGCCGGGCCCGCAATACGCTGAGGGCTGGCCCGGGGATTCCTCCCAGGTCACACGTTTCGGGCGTTTCGGGTCGGGAGTGATCATGGGTGGGGATCGCTTCGATTCCTCCAATTCGAGTTGATTTGATTTCGATGGCTTCCAATTCCGATTCGAATCGACGTCGGGTTCTGATGTGGGTTCCGATTTCTCAATGGAGGCCTACTAGCCTGCCGATTCCCGCCTATTCGACATTTCCCGACTCGGCTGCCGATTTCCGCCGATCCGATCCATGTCGATCGCCGATGCGACTTGTTGATTCGATTCTGGGCTCTCCTGGGGGCCCCTCCCAGGGCACCCTTTTGGGCGTTTCGTGACGGGAGGAGGAGGAGGAGGAGGAGGAGGAGGAGGAGGAGGAGGAGGAGTAGGAGGAGGAGGAGGGGTAGAGGGAGAAAGAGGAGGAGGAGGAGGAGGAGGAGGAGGAGGAGGAGGAGGAGGAGTTGGAGGACGAGTGATCAGGGGTGGGGATCGAGGGTTGCAGCAACGGGGCCCTCGAGGTACACCCCGAGTGCCCCGAAGGTGCGTGAACGGTGGACCGTTCGTCACTCTCCGTGCAGCGTCCCCTCCCTAAGCTTTCAAGTCGGGCGTGTCCTTTCACAGGAGGAATGCTCAAAGATGGTCAAAAACTCGTACGGGAACGATGTTTCGAATCTTGTCCTATTTGTTTGAGCATTTGTTTGGCTATGTTTTATTCTTCGTCCAAAATCCACCTGCAGGGGGACGTTCCCGACTTAACCCTACAGTCAACCCGCATAGTAAGGATGAGCAACTTTCCCAAGGGTACCCTTGCATCCTTGCCCCTTGGGCCCATCCTTGGCGACGTTCGCTGGCCATCCTCTTCCGAAAAACGTCAACATCGCCTTTTAAGGCCCTTGCATCCTTACCGCGCATCCTTACTATACGGGTTGTCTGTAAGCAGGGTCCAGATCCTGACCCGTGTCTCGAGCTGCGCCCAGCCGCGGCGACGAGGGCGG